ATCGTCAATCGTTCCAATTTCTCTCGTTCTCTCTTCGATTTTTGTTCTATCTTCTTTTTTTTTTTTTTCCTCTTGAATTTCTCTTCTCCAAAGATTCCTATATCCAATAATCGGCACCGTTTCTTTCTTTTTCTTATTTCTTTCTTCTATCTATCTCCATCATTTCTGTCTTTTAAAGATTCCGTCCAACGATATCGTTTTTTCAATCTCTCTCTTCTTTTTCGTTTCGTTCCCTTTTTCTCTCTCTCTCTCTCTCTCTCTCTCTCTTTCTTCGTTCAATCATCGATAGAACCACGTTCCCTTCTATCTCTTTATCTCTCCTCCCCTTTCCTCGTTTCATTCGTTTTTACTTATTCCAACATTGTCCTTTTTGCACGACCCTTCCAAAATTCAATAGTTTACCCAAATTTCTTCCTCTCCCTTTTCGCGGTTCTAGTTTCGTCAGCATCGAAACTCGAAGCCGTTCAATTCTTCCATTTATCCAATTTCTATCCCCCCCCCTATCCTCTTCCATTTCGCTTCATTCGCTCCTTTTTTCCCCTCCACGGTTTCGTTCCTTTCTAGCGCAACGTTTCGAGATATCGGAGCGCCGAAAAAAACTTGCCGATCGATTAATTCGGAACAAGACACTTCGTTTTTCGCCAGTTTCGTTTCATCCGAGCACACGAGCGGCGTGCATTGTTTTTTTCCCCCTCCTTCTTCTTCCTTTTTTCCGCCCCCCCTCTCTCTTCCTCTCGCGCCGTGCAATTTACGATCGACAGCTCGGCCGACACGTCCCCCCCTCCTCTCCACCCTTCTCTCCCCTGTGACGAGCACGACGGACTATCGATTCATTCCGTGGTACAGGGAAGCGATTAGCTCCTATCGCTGATCCACCGTGGATTATCTTTCCACGATCCTCCGTGTCTCCGTTAAGAGGAACGTTCGTTCCATCTTTTAATGAGAAATACGATCCCCCTCCTTCCCTCCACGTCAGTTTATGGCAATTTATGGCTCGTTTTTTCCCGGGATTAGGGGAGGGACACATCGCGTCACGGTGAATTTTGTGGATAATTATCGAAGAACGGGTTGTTTAAATTTTTATATCTAAATAAATATCCTTAAATAAGATCCTTCTTAACGATCGATGATACCGAAATGTTAGAGACTAATGCGACTAATGTTTGAGAATGTTCTTCTACTAGATTTAAAAATAGCATTATTGAGTCACGAGTAGAATAATTGTATTATAGAATTTCAAACACGTCTCGACTCGTAAATTAAATTATTAACGAAAAATAGTGTATAAAGTATATAATTTCAAAATATTAAATTTCTCATTAACGTAAAATATAATATTTTTAATGTAAATATGAAAAATATCGATTCAAATTATTAATAAAAATAATAGCTATACAATTTCACAAGTATCAAATTTCCTTTACATTATATAATATATCCTCCTTTATATTGTATTTCCCCTTCTCGTTACTATAACATATTCTTTTCACCGTACTACGAAATATCAATAAAAATATAAATAAGAGAATTTCCAAATATAACAAATTCCTCTCTGTGTATATTCTCCTTTCTCTGAAAAATGATAGAACGAATTTCAATGATCTGTCTCGATATCATTTCGAGACGATCAACTTCAACCGTTTGCAGGATGTTTAAAATCGTAATTGCGTGTCAACGCGATAAATCCTTTTCCTTCTTGGAGAAAGAAATTCTTGATCCGCGAGCGGAACCGTAGCCGTGCCAACGGTGACAGAATCGTTCCACGAGGATAAAGGACAGGACGTAGATAAATCATGGTGTTTCGTGGACAGGGTAGGGGGAGGAATGCAAGAGGAGGAGGAGGAGGATAGTTTCGAGGCGTGGATCCATGGAATCGCGGGGATCGCGGATGTTTTCGTTTCACTCTCGACTGACGTGCCTTTATCTTTCGAAAGAACTCGTCGACGCGTAAAAATTGACGAAGAGAATCGAATCGCCGTGAAACGTGTAACTGGTTCGAAATTTAACGTGTTATATTTAAGTTTTATAAACAGAAACTAGGAAGGATGAGATTCCTTTTTTTTTTTTTTTTTTTTGATATTCATTGATGATACTCTGTTGGAACACGATATTCGAATATTCTCTGACATTACTCGTAAAAAAAGAAAAAATATATATATATGTAATTCTTACCATTTACCAAGATATTTATTTGGATGTATTTTTCATTATTCATATTATGTAACATTCATTGATGATACTCTGTTGAAACACGATATTCGAATATTCTCTAACATTAGTCGCAAAAAAAGAAAAAATATATATATATAATTCTTATCATTTACCAAGATATTTATTTGGATTTTTTCGTTGTGTTTTTACGAGTGTTACAATTTTTATATACCTTGATACTATCGTTGGAACAAATAATATGAAGAAATTAATATTTTTGTATGCCAATTGTTTCTTCTTGCGAAACACCATTTCTTGTCTTTGGACAACTCTCGAGCATATTGTAAAATATTCTTATACCTAACCTAATTTAACCTAACCTAATCTAACTTAATCTAACCTAACCTAATTTAACTTAACCTAACCTAATTTAACCTAACCTAACCTAACTTAACCTAACCTAACCTAAACTTTTTAAACCCTGATTTCGATCGATTTATTCCTTCGACCAAATCTATCATACTCGATCGCAAACGAATCCTTAAAGGATTCCTTTAAAAGGAAATAACGAATTCACATAAGATAAATTCTAAAACGACTTGACGGAAATCAAAAAATCTTGCTCGCGAAAGATTAAAAGAAAGGAAGAAAAAGAGGAAAAGAGAAGCGAACAAAATTTGAAAAAGATCCAATATCGCGAAAAAGAAACATCCAATTAATTATTATTCCCTTCGAGTTTCAAGGAACGAGAAATCGAATCTTCGAAAAAGTAACACGATTAATCCGTTACGAAGCCTCGCCGAAAGAAGTTTCGAACAAAGCGCTCTCTTCTTCCTACCCCATTTTCCCCCTCCCCCTTCCTTTCAATTACAATACCACACCACGTTTCTTTCCTTCCAACGGGCTCCAGGCATCCATCTGGAAACACCGACCAGGATTAACCAACGCGAAACACACCAATTCCGCCATTTCCCCTCTCGAACGAACGTTTCGATGTTTTTATCCACGGTTTGACGGTTTCTTATCTCGAATGGTCAACCCCTCGTGCCCGCCCACTTCCAAGAAGAAAATCCAATTTAAAGTTCGGTTATCAGTCATTGAAGGGAGGAGGTCACTCGTACCTTAGGTTTCAAACCATCTCGCCCGATGAATCCGACGATTGATTGGCGTGCACCGCAACCCCCTCCACCGGATAAATCAAAGCCGAACATAAATTGCGCCGCTCGATATCGGACATGTTTTCTTTCCACGAGACGATCCCTCTATCCGCCGACAAAACGATTCTATCGAGATATTTCGTTCCATTCTCCAATCAATCGGAGGAAAATTTATTTCCATTCCGTGGTTGGAGGGAGGATTTCCCGATATTTTAAAGGATTTCTAATTTGCGATGAGGCAATTTCTTATTACATATATCGTAAATAAAGTTTAATTTAATTTGTTCGAAAATTTTAGTTGGAAGGAAATTTTGAATTTTCGCGCGTATATTTGCAGAGAAGAAATACGTATGCAACGAGGGTTAATTTTGGGTTAATTGGCGCGTGAATTTTGTTACATTCTCGCGATTATGATGGAATTTATTTTACATGGTAATTGAAGGGAAATTTTGTGATATATATATATACATACTTTTCGATGTAGGAATTTTGGAAAATTTGAAATTTCACGAAATGAAAAAATTTTCGAACGTGCGAGACAAGATTGAGTCTTTACAGTAGAGTTACATCGATATAATATTTATTATTAAATTTGTATGATTATTTTGTATATTTTGTTGGAGATTGATTTTCATTTTCGTATTCATACTCGACTCTCATTCTCGAAATTATTAAAAGTACGAAGTTTATTCGTTAAAAATGTTCAATTAGTTGATGGAATAATTCTTGAAGATCTTGTCGTAACTTTTCCATAACATGGAGCAAACTTTTCTATATTCTGAAAGTGTATTAATTCTTTTCTCGGAATCGTCCGCTTTCCCGGCTATATTTTTATATCGTAGAAGTGGAAACACTCGATATCTTGGCCAGAAGTTGAAACTATAAAAATCGAGGACAGAAAACGGGGAAACAATCGAGAGTGGCAGACTCGAAGGGACGAAGGAACGAGATTTATAAGTTGAAACTTCCTCGAAACGAGTTTACGAAACTTTTGATCGTCGAATGAAAATTACAAAGTTAAATTACGAATTTCAGTAGCCATCGCGCGGCAAAAACCGGTATATACATATGTGAAAACATCTTTCCTTTCCTTTTTCCTCGAACCCGAATAATTTCTGAAATAAACTTTTCTAAACCATTTCAATCGTTCTATTTCAAAACAGCTTCCCATTCATTCCAAATCTTCCGATCGGCAAAATAAAATAATTATGTACAAATATTTTTCACCCCAATCCAAAAATCGAAGTAACATTTCAAACCCAAAATCCACTTCGATCCAAAAAATAAAAATTCCATCCTTCCTCCAAACCTCAATTATCCCACCAATTCCCTAAAAATTAATTATCCAATCGTTCGAACGATACAAAGAACTCAATACAAAATTCTTAGAATAGGACTCTATCAACTCTGTCAACATCGCTTTACGATATTAAAAAAAAAGAGAAAGAAAGAAAATCAATGTTTCGACATTCCTCGCCAAAAATCTCATCTCGAACCAGGATGATTCACGTTTCAATAATTGCAAGTTGCAAGAAATGGAGCAAGAGAAAGAGAGAGAGAGATAAAGCCTGTGTCCTTATATCCCTCCGCCGTTGGTTCGACAGGTCTTAGACCCGGTTTCAACCCCGTTTCTTATCCGTATATATAGGGGAGGGCGGTTGGATTTGCGGAATCCAGGGTTGGAACACATACCTGGATAAAGGAACAGCCTGGATCCGATGACGGCCAGTGGCCGCCTCTTCCACTGAGGGAAAACCAACCCCTTCAATACCAAAGCGTGGCCGCAACGGCTGTATCCGTGAAGCTCGGGCAAGGGGGATGCGGGCCCTGAAACAAAAAAAAAAAAAAAAAAAAAAAAAAATGTGAGCGACGGTATTTCTGATCGGTCTGAAGGGGGATTACGAGGGATAATAACCGGTGTGCGATTATTATTGGGGCGAGGGAGGTTAATTGGTGGTTGTTCGTTATTATATTATTTTTATTTGCTCGCGTAATGCAAAATCGTATTTTTACGGCTAAAGAAATGGAGCTTAAGTAATGACAGCGATTAAATTAGCGATCAAAGTGATAATATTTTTATCGAATATAATTATAATTTGTTGATAATTTTGGATATTTTGCACGTCACGTCCATTCCGTACAAAATATTAATCCCATATAGGGAATAATAGAGAATTTGTTGTATAATAAATTTGTTGCCAACAATTTCACGTCAAATCGATTTTCTAAATTAAATTTCAAGATAAATTTTAGAAAATAATATTTCTAACGTAATATTTTATTCTCCTCTTATCAGATTACCCTTACAGACACCAAATGTCCACAAAATGTAATTACAAATAAAGAAATAACTTCGATCGAATTTTAATTTAATCGAGAAATCGTTCAAATCTGAATTTGAAATTCGAAATTCGAAATAAAAAACTTCGTGTATCGTTTATAGAATCTTCAAAGAGCAAAATCTCGCGAATTCGTTAATTAGCAATGCGATCTCGATTGTTCCGCGCAAGCTGTTGCCGATCGTTGAAAAATACTATCTCGAATCTTCCTCCTCTCCCCTCCTCTCCCCTGCCGTGGTAAGTTTCTCGCGGGAGAAGCTGCCACGCGGTATGGATTTCGAATTCATTGAAATTGTAATTTTCGTTTTTTAAATTATCGTTTCCTCCCTCCTGCGAAATACCATTATGTGCACGGAATTTCTGCAACTTGAAAAGAGGATGAGTGGAGAAATTAAAGAGAAAAGAAAGAGAGAGTATCGATTTCGAGACGAAATTTCGAACAAGTTTGATGCACTTTATGCGAAGAATATCGCGGTGAGTGAAACGTCTTATTTAAATTTTGTTATTTTACGAGAGAGAAATTTCTTCAAGGATTTGGAAATTTGAAAAGACATAGGGATTAATGAGAGAATATTTTTCGATTTATAAGATGGATTTGAAATATTTTTGGAAATAATGGACGATTGTGGAAGATTTAATCTTGGAAAAATATCTATTTTAAATGTATTTGTGATGCGGAAAAATTTTAATTTTACGAAACTTTGCGTAAAATCTAATTTCCACATTGATATATTTTGAAAATTTAATTTTACAAAATATCACAATTTTCCCGATATACTTGATATATTTCAACATACCTCGAAAAATACCTGTATTATACGACGTGGAAATTTAACGAAACGTTAATATTTAGGATATGCTTTTTTGGTTTCTCTTTTCTAACATTTTTCAATATTGCGAATATTTCCATAGAAAAAAATTAAAAAAGAAGAGAAAAAGAGTTTCACACCCGTGAAAGTAAGTGAATGTTTTCAAACAGTGTACCGACCAAAAGTTAGGGATACGGAATCGCATTAGAATTAGTTAGCGCAGGGGACGCGCGTGACATCTGTATGCAACCGGTATTAATGCAGTTTCGCGTTAGAATTCACTTTCGATGTTACCGAAATTCATCGTTAAATAACGTTTCACGGTGCAAAGCATGCAAATCATCCCCGAGAGACATCATAGACCGAGTTCGCTCGAAACCATCATGTATATTTCATGTAGTGATGCGCATAAACGGGGCTCCCTCCCATCGTCCCTCCAACTACAATATTTCCGATCGTTACGTTCTCTTTAGCGACCATTTTCCCTCCCCTCTTATTTAAATTCTCTCCTTTCCTTTTCTTCTCCTTCTTTCCCCTCCCTCCCTCCCTCTTATTTCAATTTCACTTCGCATGACAAGACTCGGAGGAATTTGTGAGAGGAGAAAAAAGAAAAGAAGAAAAACGAATTTATTCATTTTTCACAATTGTAAAAAGATCTTAAACCAAGACGGATATAAATATTTTTCAAATCAAGGGTAAAACGCAGGAAATAAAATAAATTAAAGGATAAAGGAATCGATCGGTTGTTTCGAAGAGGAGGAATTTGAAAGGTGTTTAAAAAAAAAAAAAAAAAAGAAATGACGTTTAATTCGCCTCCAATCCAAGTTTGACGAAACCACATGGCGGATTCTCATTGGCACGCGCGCGTGTGCGCGGCAACGATCGATTATAATACATGCACGCGGCTCGTGATAACCGAGGTCCGTTAATCGGCAAACAAGCAGGAAGCTGCATCAGGAGCCGCATCAACGTCAATATTTATTCGATAGATTTTCATTTAGTATGCCGACAGATACGCGCGATGCTAGTTCATCGAGCAAACGCAGGGGGGCGGCTTTGTGGGATGCCACCTCCTCCCCTCTCGCCCCTTGCGGCTTGATCAAGCCATCCAACCTTGCGTTAATTTCGTAGGAATTCGATTACCGATTCGTTTCGTTTATTTCTTCCCTTTCCTACGTTCCTTTTTCTTTTTAGCTATGATATTTAAACGCCAGTCCTTTAGAGATTTCGTTTATGATATTCATTTTTTCTAATTTTTAACGTGAATTTTTAACAATTCGATTAGATGGGATTTCGAAGGTGGTACTCGATTCTGTGACGCGATTATTCTTTCTTCTAACGTGTTTCAAGTACTCTTCCAGGTAATTATTCTTCCATAAGTGAGATTGAATTATATCCGATATAATGAAATTCCAATTATGCATTCGATCATATTATATATAAATTATATTAATTATATTAAATATATTAAATTATATTAATTATATTAAATACATAATTGGATATATATCCAATTATGTATTTTTTTTCGGATATTTTTGTAACGCGACTAGCTAGAAAAGCTTTCGTATTTATCGTAAAGTTTGCTCGGTGCCCGCCATATTATTTATCGAAAAACTGGGGACCAAGGTTTCACGTTGATACAGAATCACGATACTCGATGGGAAGATGACGAAGTGCTCGGTTAACTCAATTAACCCGTTGATGGCGGCGGCGGTGGTGGTGGTGGTGGCGAGCCATTAAAAGCGTAGTCACTGTGTAACGGGATCCAAGCGCATCCTGTAATTATCCGCACCTCTAAAAGCTTCTTTCTAGACGATTCTATGGAACCGGCTTCTCTCCCCCTCGACTCTTTTCTCATCTCGTTATACGATTATATTCTGATTTTTTTTGAAGACTTTATGCCCAACGAATTTTGATTTGATAAAACTTTTTTCCATTTAATTTATCGAATAATTAAATTAACGGTGTTTACAGAGAGATAAATTTTGTTTGTTTAAAAAATTAAATATCAATATTATTCATGCAGAGAATCGAATTCGTTTGAATATTCTAAAAAAAAGAAAAAAAAAAAAAGAATCCTTTCGAAATTTTAAGAAATTATATATTTATAAAAGAAATATTTAAAAAAGAAATTTTCGGTATTAAATTGTTCAAAAGGACCAACCGTTCCATCAAAATAAATTCTCCGAAAGGAATCACGATTTCTTCGAAACAAACTCCCCGAGAAGAAGCTGTAAAACTAAATTCTCTCGAAAGTAGCAAAGTCTTTCGAAATAAATCCCCCTTCCCCAGGGAGAGGATCTCATATTTTCCACCCATAATAATCGAATCCGTCCAACGGCAATTCACTTTTTCCCACGTCACAACTCTTCCCCAAAAACTTTGCCTAAAACCTCGCACCATATCCTGCTCAACTCAACGAAGGTCGAAGGGGGAGGGCAATTAAATGGGTGAGATAGTGGCGATAGAAGCGAAACTTTCGCTCGATAAACCATCGACTCGCATCCATTCTTGAGGAGGAGGAGGGAGAGGAAGAAGAACTCGGGGGTGTGAAATTTCGCGCGGCGCCAAAAGTTCCTGTTCCCCGTAATTTTGGAAATGGAGCAAGTGTATCGTTTCCAGCCTTCCTAACTTCCGCCTTCCAGTTCCATTTGTCGTCGAACTTGGCCCGACCAACTTTCGACTCCTCCTGAAATTTCTGAGATATTAGTTTGAAAACGCGACTTCGCTTCTCGTTTTCAAACTCTCCTCCTTAAATATTTACCCGTTGCTCGTTAATCGTTCCTAAACGAACCATTTCAAAAGATGAAAAAGCAAAGACGGACGTTTTTCCGTTTCCGCTTTGCTATCGTTCGATCTTGCTATTCTCTTGCTTCCTTTCATTGCTCGGAAGAAAAACGATATATTTTCGATATTACGATCTTTGTTCCATCGAAATTTTCGAGCCATTTTAATGACCCTTTTTGCCAAAGAGATTCCAACTCGACAAATTCCATTTTTAAAATAAAAACGGTTTTGGCGCGAAGAAATTATTCGAACGCTGCGAGATTCGAATAATATTTTAATTTGTTGAAATCGACAATCGATGAAATAAGCGACGGTGAACGGGTTAAGATTTCATATTTCGATTCGGTTAATTTTTGCGTTGCAGAAGAATAGCTTCGTGGAATTTTTGATGATGTCAATTTGTTGGCAGTATCTCCTCGTTTCAGAAAAGAATAATAATTATTCTCCATCATAACTATATTTTCTCATCATCACGATTCTATTCAAAAACGAGCTTCACGTAATAAGCTTTTGATTCTTCATCTGCAAATATATTTTTCAATAATTAGATAATTTGAATGTTTCTTCAAATTTTGGAATTTTGAGGAATCTCTGAGTAATATAGATTTTCTTTCAGAACAAATTATCGTTTTTGTTGGTCGAAAAGAAATCTTTGTTCGATGGAACAACGATAGAGCTTTATTAGAGCTTTAATGATCTTTTCCCAAAGGAGATTCAAACCGACATATTCCATTTTTATAAAACTTCTCGAATATTTTATTTTGTTAAAAACAATTTTAAATGGAGGAACAATCGATTTCATAGATAAGATTTCATATTTCATATTTCGATTTAATTAATTTCTGTGCTCGAGCGTTGTCGTGCAGAAGAACAGATCTATCGACTAATA